TAATAAAACAATAAAAAGAAATTTTAGAGAAAATTGTTGAATAATATCTTGAAATATGGAAAATAAATGAATAAAATTTTGGATACCGCATGTTTGTTTTTCAACATTTTTGCCGTGCTCCGTATATCACCATCAGCAGTATCAAAAGGGCAATAATTTTATGAGATATTAAATAAAATCAAAAATTTTTACCAAGAATTCATTGGAATTTTTAAGAAATATGTTACTGTGAAATTTCAATTCTATATGATGTCTGTAAGAGTAAATAATAGCAGAGTCCGCGTAATTTTTGAACGGCCCTCGTATGTTAATACCTAGGCTAAAAGGCTAATAAAAGAAATAATCTTTACTAGCGTAAGTATTTAAAAAAAAGAGCAAAATCAATATACTTAAATAATGTTTGATAATTTCATAAATGATTAAACATACTAGTATTTAAAAATATTGAATATAAAGCAATGCAGTATTCTGTTTTCCTTCTCTGGCAAAAACAAAAAACAAAATGTGCTTGCAAATATGATGCAACATCTTCATGATAATCATTAACAAGAGTAAAATAGTCTAAGAAGTGAATTATTGAGATAGTATAAAACTTTTGAAACTTTTTGTCGTTTATCTCATGCATAAAAATTGCTTTCACAACTGAAGTATCGCATGCATAGGCAACGTTATTTACCTCGAATATTTGCCAAATGATACACATATCAAAGTCCAAATTTGGGTGGATAAGATGTAATTGATGCAAACTAATGGTGAACATTGGATATTTTCAGGTTAGTTGAGATTAACATGAATTCCAGTCGGCAAATACTGTTTTCAATCAGCGTTTTCGCTCTACCAGCCCTTGCTTCAAAACAAATATTGTCGCTAATCGAAAATCCTTGCATTTTATAAGGGTGTAAAATAAAAGAAAAATAAATTGCTCATGGAATTACATTCTTATATTTTTATTAAAATTTCAATTATTGCCTGCATCGGGTCAACTTACCATCTGTGTATTGAAATTATTCGTATCAAATGCATAACCAGAAATTGATCTCTTTTGATTATTATACATAACTGCTGGTTATGCAACTGATCGACTAGCAGGCGTGTATAAGATAGAGTAAATGAACCATCCTGACAGAGACTAAAACTGCCAAAGTTTCTCCAAATATGTTGTTAAAAATCCATGTTTACAACTTTTTTCAATCTCACAATCGCTTGGCTATCTCAACTGCTCAACTATGACGTCACAGCCTATGACACCGTGTTACGAAAAGACAGAGTCAAAGGGAAAATCAAAGTAAATGTAATAAACAAAAAATTCAATGTTTTGTAGATGAATATGGAATTTATTTCACTCATGAGACAGGATTTTTTGATATTTTCACTCATGCTTCGCACTCGTGAAAATATAAAAAAAATCCTGTCCCACTCTTGAAATAAATTCCATATTCATCTACAAAACATTGAACATCCTCTATCTACAGTATATTAAAGATTTCTTGAAGTATTTCTTTTTAGGTCACCTGAGTCACTCAGGTGACCTATTGCTATCCGTTTTCGTCCATTGTCGTGCGTTAACATTTGAACATTTTTAGCTTCTTCTCTGAAACCGCTTAACCAATTTCAACCAAATTTGGCATATAGCATCTATGGGTGAAGGGGAACAAAAATTGTGAATTTCATGGTCCCTATCCCCCTGGGGCATGGGGGTGGGGCTAAAACCACCAAATTAATGCTATTTTTAAAAGTCTTTTCTTTACTCCTGGACATCAAGCAGTCAAACTGTTGACATGATTGTAATAGGCATTGAGCCCTCTACCAAAATTGTGAAATTCATGGCCCCAGGGTCAGGGGTTCTGGCCCCAGGGTGGGGCTATATAGATCATATAGTGAAAGTGCATTATTTCTTTGAAAATCTTCTCTGCTCCTGGGTATTAAATAAAGTAACTAAATACATAGTTATGAAGAGCAAGAGTGCCTCTTCCAAAATTGTGAATTTCATGGCCCCAGGGTCAAGGGTTTTGGTGTTAGGGCAGGGCTCTATTGATTATATAGTGAAAATGCATTAATTCTTTGAAAATCTTCTTCTCTGCTCCTGGATATTAAATAAAGTAACTAAGTACATAGTTATGATGAGCAAGAGTGCCTCATCCAAAATTGTGAATTTTGTGGCCCCAGGGTCAGGGGTTCAGGTGTTAGGGTGGGGCTGTATTGATTATATAGTGAAATTGCATTAATTCTTTGAAAATCTTCTTTTCTGCTCCTGAGTACTAAATAAAAAAAACTAAATACATAGTTATGATGAGGAAGAGTGCCTTTTCCAAAATAGTGAATTTCATGGCCCCTGGGTCAGGAGTTTTGGTGTTAGGGTGGGGCTCTATTGACTATACAGTGAAAATGCATTAATTCTTTGAAAATCTTCTTCTCTGCTCCTGGGTATTAAATAAACAAACTAAGTACATAGTTATGATGAGCAAGAGTGCCTCTTCTTAAATTGTGAATTTCATGGCCCCAGGGTCAGGGGCTCTGGTGTTAGGGCAGGGCTCTATTGATTATATAGTGAAAATACATTAATTCATTGAAAATCTTCTCTGCTCCTGGGTATTAAATAAACAAACTAAGAACATAGTTATGGTAAGCATGGCTGCCTTTTCAGAAATTGTGATTTTCATGGCCTCAAGGTCAGGAGTTCTGGTGTTAGGGAGGGCCTCTATTGATTATATAGCGAAAACGCAGTAATTCTTTGAAAATCCTCTCTGGTCCTGGGTATTAGATAAACTAACTTAGTGCATAGTTATGATGAGCATGGTTGCCTCTTCCAAAATTGTGAATTTCATGGCCCCTGGGTCAGGGGTTTTGGTGTTAGGGTGGGGCTCATATATATATATATATATATATATATATATATATATATATATATATATATATATATATATACACTAGACAAAATTGCTAATGCACCACCAAAATAAATTAACATTTTTCTTTTCAAAACTTGTTTATGATGTTTTTGATATATAATTATGTTACTTTAATAAAAAATGAGTCATATAAATGCTTTAACTGATAAATAACAACAATGTTTACTGAAGCGTAACCACTTCATAGAAAAAATTAAAATCATATCCATACTTTTTCGGTGGAATAAATTTTAAATTTTTTCTTTGTGGTTGTGTTCTTTATGTTTGTACTTATAAAAAACTCAGAAAAAAAGTTACACTGTATGCAGTGTTTGACTCTAGAAAAGGTGCTAAGGCAGCCAGTATGGTGTCTGCAGGGGGTTCCTTCGAAGAAATTTGTGAAAAATTAAAAGAATTAAATAATTATGAATTTCTCTGGTGAAAAATTGTTGAAAATGAATTAACGATCATAAAAATGTTTACAATAGATATCGACGGCATTAAGTGAGCACCACACAATAATTTCAAAATTGTTCCACAAATTTGGGGCAACCGGAAGTTGTGTGGATTTGGTAGGGACACCAAGGCACTGGATGACTACTAAGCGATATGGTAGTCAATCAGGGTATATCATTTGATTTTTAAGTGGGAGACTGCTCCCGTTGCAACATCATGGACCACCATCGGTAATCACCAACTTCATATCTTGGCAAAAACGGTGCACAATGCACGTCGGGAAATTGGTTTTCAGACAAGAAGGTCCTTTAAGGGTATTGACATGACACCAAGACATTTGTCAATCCAACTGTTTTGGAAAAGATGGCATATCTTATATACTAGTACCAATCAGGAAAATGATCAATTCACAAATAAGAATAATAAGTGGTGCATTAGCAATTTTGTCTGGTGTATATATATATATATATATATATATATATATATATATATAAATGCATTAATTCTTTGAAAATCTTCTCTCTCCTGGATATTATATATATAAACTAAGTACATAGTTATGATGAGCATGGCTGTCTCCTCAGAAATTGTCAATTTCATGCCCCCCTGGGTCAAGGGTTCTGGTCTTAGGGCAGGGCTCTATTGATAATATAGGGAATATGCATAAATTCTTTCAAAATCTTCTCTGCTTCTTGGTATTATTCAAACAAAGGAAGTGCATGGTTATGATAAGGAAGAATGCCTCTTCCAAAATTTTGAAATTCATGCCCCCTGGGTCAGGGGTTCTGGTGAAAGGGGAGGGGGCTCAATTGATTATATAGTGAAAATGCATAATTTCTTTCAAAATATTTTTTTTTTACTATTTGTTATAAAGCAAAGAAACAAGTGTAAGCAAGGGCATTCATGGCCCCTGGGTCAGATGTTCTGGTGTAAGGATGGGGCTTTATTTAATAATATAGTGAAAATGCATTTCTTTGGAAACCTTCTATGCTTCTGGGCATATTCGAGGCAAACAGAGTAAAAGTTTTAATATGCAAAGGTATTTTTACCAGAATTTTGAACACCTGGACCATTTAGTCAAGTGTTCTGGTCCTGGCCAGGGCTCTATTAACCTGTATTCTGCTGAGCAAAGTTATTCCCCTTTATCATTGACCTTTGATAACTAATCACTGTAAACAATGTATTTGAAAGGTTAATAGAATAAAAGAATTATGCAAGAATATTTATTGTATAATACAAAAAGTACTTTCATAGTTTTAATGATCAGGTAGACATGGAAATAATAGATGGATAAATGTGAGACAAAAATAACTTATCTTTTTAAATGTTCTTCAAAGGCCAAGAGAGGCCAGTGTTAGAAGTAATAATATGGGGTAAAAAATTAGACATTTTGTTAATAGTCTGCATGGTAATTGTGATAAATGGGGGACAGATAGAAGATCGATACTAGACCAATTATTTCCTTGATGCTAATCATACTATTTTTATTGGTTTTGGGCAACAAAGCTTCATTTATCGGTTTATGGATCCTCCAAATTGTTGTATTGTACTCAGGCTTCTTGTCTTTAAAAATTAATTGTCCTGCTTGTCTGCACAAAATACCTTGCAGTTATATCCATGGTCATTGATATTGTACTACAATCTTCCACTTTATAGTAAACAGAAACTAAAAGCCCTGTATGGGAGTTGGGTGAAAGAGCTATATGCTGTAAATCCAGAGGAGTATGATGAATTTTTGAAGGAATTAAACTCAGGAACCTCACCTAGTCAAAGTGCCAAAGTAAGTACAAAATACTATAAATATATTATATATACTAGGGTTGTCAATGAGTAACCGGTTACTTGATTATTAGGGCCCCGCAAGGATTTGCGGGTGCCCTATAGTAATCACTCTGTCTGTCTGTCCGTCTGTCATTCTTCCGTCCACAAATTTTCTGTTTTTTTCTAATAGCTTTTTTTGTAGTTGACCAATTAAGTTCAAATTTGGTATGTTGGTTGAAGAGGCAGTAAGACATATTTTGATGCTAAGTTTGGTTCTCTATGTCATCCAGTTTGGAGCTGGGGTGGTGGGGTAGATTCCTTAACTTTACATTAGAATGAATGCCAGGGCAAAGAGAGATAACTGCTGAGAATGTTCCAATTGTATACTATGAAAGCTGCAACTAGTCCCATGGGATTAATTAACTTTCCTCTTGAAGAGAATCCAAAGCATTATCTGTTTCTGTCAAATTGAGATAAATTAACACCTCTGTCTGCAAATGAAGTTTGTTTTGAAGTTAAGGTCAATTCTGAATGATGTTTACATTCTCTGAAATGTGGATTTAAATGTTCATACTTTATATTGGTAAAATATACAATGAGTTATGATTTTATTGAGTTCTAAAAACAAGATATACATAAAGATATGTTTTTTTATTTTTTTGTTTTTATTTATTTTATTTATTTATTTTTAGGTCACCTGAGTAAACTCAGGTGACCTATTGCTATCCGTTTTTGTCCGTCGTCGTACATCGTTCGTCGGTCGTAAACTTTTGAACATTTTTAGCTTCTTCTCAGGAACCGCTCAACCAATTTCAACCAAATTTGGTATATAGCATCTATGGGTGAAGAGGAACAAAAATTGTGAATTTCAAGGTCCCTGCCCCCCTGGGGCCTGAGGGGTGGGGCTAAAACCACCAAAAATAATGCAATCTTTAAAAATCTTCTTCTTTACTCCTGGACATCAAGCAGACAAACTGTTGGCATCATTGTAATAAGCATGGAGCCCTCTACCAAAATTGTGAAATTCATGGCCCCAGGGTCAGGGGTTCTGGCCCCAGGGTGGGGCTATATAGATCATATAGTGAAAGTGCATTATTTCTTTGAAAATCTTCTTCTCTGCTCCTGGGTATTAAATAAAGTTACTAAGTACATAGTTATGATGAGCAAGAGTGCCTCTTCCAAAATTGTGAAATTCATGGCCCCAGGGTCAGGGGTTCTGGTGTTAGGGCGGGGCTCTATAGATTATATAGTGAAAATGCATTAATTCTTTGAAAATCTTCTTCTCTGCTTCTGGATATTAAATAAAGTAACTAAGTACATAGTTATGATGAGCAAGAGTACCTCTTCCAAAATTGTGAATTTCATGGCCCCAGGGTCAGGGGTTCTGGTGTTAGGGTGGGGCTCTATCGACTATATGGTGAAAATGCATTAATTCTTTGAAAATCTTTTCCTCTACTCCTGGGCATTAAGGTGATAAACTAAGTACATAGTTATGATGAGGAGGTGGGCCTCTTCCAGAATTGTGAAAGCCATTGCCCCTGGGACAGGGGTTCTGGTGTTAGGGCGGGGCTCTATTGATTATATAGTGAAAATGCTTTAATTCTTTGAAAATCTTCTTCTCTGCTCCTGGGTATTATTTAAACAAACTAAGTACATGGTTATGATGCATAAGGATGCCTTTTCAAAAATTTTGAATTTCTTGGCCCCAGGGTCAGGGGTTCTGGTGTTAGGGCGGGGCTCTATTGATTATATAGTGAAAATGCATTGATTCTTTGAAAATCTTCTTCTCTGCTACTGGAGATTATTTAAACAAACTAAGTGCATGGTTATGATGCATAAGGATGCCTTTTCCAAAATTGTGAATTTCATGGCCCCAGGGTCAGGGGTTCTGGTGTTAGGGCGGGGCTCTATAGATTATATAGTGAAAATGCATTGATTCTTTGAAAATCTTCTTCTCTGCTACTGGAGATTATATAAACAAACTAAGTGCATGATTATGATAGACAAGGATGCCTCTTCCAAAATTTTTAAATATATGGCCTCAGTTTTTGGGGTTCTTGAGGAGGGGGGGGGGGCTCTATTGATTACATAGTGAAAAGCATTAATTCTATTAATCATTAATTAATCCTGTCTGCTCCTTAGTGTTGAGCTGATAAATAAATTGCTTAGCTATGATGAAAATGGGAGCTTAGAACAGAATTTTTAAATCTTGTGGTCCTAGGGTCAGGGGTTCTGGCATAACGAGGGGGGGGGGGGGGCTTTTGATAATATAGTGGAAAAGTGTTAATTCTTTGAAGTCCATAGTTATGATGATGAGGGTAACTCTTCCAAATTTGTAAATTTCTTGACCCTTGGTCTTGGGTTCTGGTGTTAGGGTAAGGCTTTGTTGATTCTGTAGTGAAAATGCATTGTACCTGTGAAATTCTTCTCTGCTTCTGGGCATATTGGAAGCAAACTGAGTAAAAGTTTAAATGATATGAGTAAGCGTATTTCTACCAGATTTTTAAACATCTGGACCATTGGTCTAAGCATTCTGGTCCTGGGCAGGGCTCTATTAATTTGTATTCTACTGAGAGAAGTTATTCCCCTTTTCCATTCACCTTTGATAATTAATCACTGTAAATAATGTATTTGAAAGGTTAATAGAATAAGATAATTATGCAAGAATGTTTATCGTATAATTAAAAAAGTACTTTCTTAGTTTTAATAAACAGGTAGACCTGTAAGTAATAGATAAATAAAAATGAGACAAAAATAACTTATCTTATTAAAAGTTCTTCAAAGACCATAAGAGAGGTCAATGCTAGAGGTCTTAATATGGGTTTATAAATAGTACAGAAGCACTAATAGTTTGTTAATAGTCTGCATAGTGTTAAGTGGGGGACAGATTAGAACTTAATTTATGAGTTGATACTGAATACTAGACTGATTATTTTGTTGATCCTGATCTTCCTACTTCTCTTGCTTTAGGGCAACAAAGCTTCAACTATCAGTGTATTTAACTTCTAAATTGTTGTATTATACTCAGGTGACCGTTAAGGCCCTTGGGCCTCTTGTTTTTGGTTGCCGTATGTAAATTCAAGAATACTATTAATTTTAATGGGTAGTCCAATAATAAACTCATTCTATCATTACTGAAAGAGTTCTTATTGTAAACTTGGAAGAAAAGGATAAGAGAGCAGTACAATTAATCCCTTGGGATTAATTATCTTGTCTTGGGCAGAAAATTTTCCAGACTTATCTTTATTTGTCACTTTAAGATAAATTAACCTTTGTAACTGATGTTTGTTTTGAAGTTAAGGTCAAGACTTGGTGATATTTGAAAACACATGCTTTATTCTTGTTTGAATATACATTTAATTGAGTTATTATAGATATTATGTTTTTTACTGCCTTATGTAAATACAGGTATACTCTTTACAGGTTGTTGGATATTTAGGAATTATCTTGAAATTTTCTAAATAAAGTTGTTATTGCATATTCTTCATATATTTTTAAATTTTTCTAATCAATTAAAATAAGCTGCACTCATATTTCTACCCCTCGGCGGGGCCCTTGCTGACTGGTCAGTTTTCTAGTTCATTGAAAGACTAAAATCATTATTTGAGTACAGTGGCTCCTCATTTATCTGAACACCTCCGTCCCCAATGAAATTGTCCAGATAATCGAATTGTCGGGATAAGTGAATCCCTTCTCATAAAACCCTCTCCAAGCATGTATATATGCATATACTGTTATAAAATGTGAAGGCAAAGAAAAAAAACCTTTAATATTTTGGTTTATTGTTTTCATTTTATAGTTTTTAAAGATGTAATTAATTAAAGAAAAAAAAAATTAAAATATATTATTGATCTTTCTATTTACCATATTAAATTTTCTTCATATCATGATTAGACATAATATTCATTTCTGAAAAAGTAAGCAGCGCTTCATACTTCAAACTATTTTTCATTTGAATCTAATGCTATTGTTGTTGATGAAAATCAATGTTGGGAATTAAAAAAAAATTGGTGAAATTTGGAGCAGAGGGATATTTCACCTTAAAAAGGTACAAAACTGAAGAAATGTCTTCTATTTAATATGTTCTTCCATAAATAGAAAGATCAATAATTTTCTATCTCACAATAAAATTAAAAATATAAGGTAACTACATGTATATATAAAAATAATATTTACTATCATACCTATCTAATTCGCATTAGAAAACATAATGAAGCGTTGCTTTTTAAATCAGAATATCACATTGTTTCCTGTGCTTGTAAAATAAAATGCATCCATCTACAAGAGTTATCTTTTCATTATCGTTTTTCAAAATGGTTTTTTGTGAAAAAAAAATATTAATTAGTTGATTATAAGAATTCTGCATCTGAAATTTCTGTAACAATTAAAAGAATTAATATATGTTAAGAGATAGAAATATCTCAATTTTCTTTGTTTAAAGGAACTGAGTATAAATGTTTTAGGTAAACTATTATATTAAATAATTAATAAGAATATTGGCAATAGAAAATAGAAATCAATATTTGTAAGACTGATCAGATTTGAATGAGTTGACTATAAAATGGTTCTCATCATTAAACTTGGCAAGACAATTCATTGGATTGCTTGGAATAATTTCCTCGAAAAGTTATCTCTCTTATCAGAGGGATGTTACACCTTAAACTTTCCTTTGGGGAAAAGCGTTTCAAATGCATTTACGTTTTAAGAAATGGAAAATCGTATTTTACATTTACGCAGTCAACAAGATCAAGACTTTTACAGAATTGCTCATAATTTATTCATTTTATTTACAACTCTCCAAAATTTTCTTGAATTTACAGTTGTATATACAGTTAGCAATATGATTTTGAATGGATTCTTATTTAATAAATGCACAGTGTAAGCTGAATTCTTGGTTTCATAATATTGATTGATTGATTGTATGTTGTTTATGTCCTGTTTGAGAATTTTTCACTCATATAGAGATGTCACCATATACTGGTGAAGGGCTTCAAATTTAGACCTTTACTCAGCACTTAGGGCCATTGAGCAGTGAGGGTTCTTTATCGTGCCAATGCCTACCATGAAACCAGGCCTCGCTTTTTAAGGTCTCATCCGAAGGACCCGCAACTTTCACTTCAAAGTGCCGAGTGCTTGGCGAAGGAACAGTTGCTATTTATTTATCGTTTTAGGTCATTGGCAGCCGTGATTCGAACACAGGACATTCTGATCACGGACAGGGCTCTACATTAACTTATTTTCCTACTTGTCCATTCGGACAAGTGACCAAGACATTTACTTGTCCGAACTTCAACTTCACTTGTCCGAAAATTTTTAACTAATGATCTAATACTGTCAACTTGAAAACTAAAATAAGTCCATTACACATGACATGTGCTTGACTGATTTGTGATGTTATTGATAAATACAACAAACACATAAAATGAAATTTTATCTAGACGTTCTGTCCTGACAACATAAATGTTCACAAGTGAACCTGTCAACATCAAACAGAATCCAAACTTCGTAAGACGTAAGTTTGTAAATTCCATGCCTTTTCAGTATACGTAGCATTCAATTAGTGAACTTTGATCCCAATCGAATGTGAACTCAATTAATGGAGATCCATATCGGGATCGAAGTTCGGTTTTTATGTACTGCTTCCGTCTAGAAACTAGCGATAAACTAAAACTTTCAACAGTCATTCTTTTTATTATTTAGAGACTCATTTACATTAAAATGCACTTGTACAATCGGACAAGTGCCCAGCAATATTCACTTGTCCGTAATTTTTTTTCACTGGTAGCGGACAAGCATTAATGTCGAGCCCTGATGGAGCAAGCACTCTACTGACTGAGCTACCATGACGGTTGAGTTTCATAATAAACATGAAATTTAATTGGGGTAAACACATGCTAATTATAGATGATATTGTTTGTAGGTCACTGGTAACTGCCTTCAAACTGCCTTCATGACCAATATTTTTACAACAATTAACACTACTGCAAGATAAGTGTGAAAAAATTGTTTCTTGAAAAATTACCGTCTGGATAAACGAGTCATTTTTCAATGAAATATTAGTAGTAGAAATCGAGCATCTGGATGCGGAATGTGAATTTCCGGATGAATGACACAGAATAATGTTGAAAAAATCGGATCCCAAAAAATATCATCCGGAAGGTGAAGCATCGGGATTAATGGCGTCCAGATAAACGCGGCACCACTGTATTTGATAAAAACTATAAAACCCTGCAATGTTTCTTCATGTTTTGGCATGGGACTCATTGTTATTAAGAGGGGTCCTTTGGACCCATGATAACCATTTTCAAAATGAATCACTGAACTTTGTCAGTTGAGGCATCTTGGGTCCTTGGAGTACGACAACTGAAAAGTAGGTCACCCTGACCTACTTTTGAAATTTTATGGCTGTATTTAATATTTTTGGGTACTATTTGGCTTAGAATTATCAAAATTTGTCAGTTGATATATCTTGGGTCCTCACAGTAGGTGACCTACTTTTCAATTTATATGACTATAATTGAATATTTCGGGTACTAATTGGCTTAAAATCATCACACTTTGTTAGTTGATGCATCTTGGGTCCACAGAGTTAGTCGACTGAAAAGGAGGTCACTGTGACCTATTTTTGAAATTTTATGGTTATAATTTTAAAAATATTTTATGTATTAATTGGCTTAGAATCATCAAACTTAGTTGATGCATCTTGGGTCCTTAGAGAATGACAAGTGATAAGTAGGTCACCATGAGCAACTCTCAGGTACTAACTGGCTTAGAATCATCTTAGGTTCTCAGAGTGTTTCATCTAAAATGTAGGTCATGATGACCTACCTTTGGAATTTTAAGGGTTTATCTGAATATACAGGATACTTAGAGGCTTCAAATAGAAGTGATAGGTTGTACAGTTTATCAGAAGAGCAATTCAAGGCCCTTGGGCCTCTTGTTTCTTTGGTGGAAATATCCTCCAGTGTTTATTACCAATAGAGAAGGATTTGTTAATATATTCTGTATTAAAATGGCACTTGTCCTTTAGATACATGATAAAAACCCATTAAAGATTACCTTTAATCACCCTTTAAGCACTTATCAGCCATCTTTAAGCCAAGCATAAAGGTAGTGTTTCATCTTGTGTTCCTATGACAGCTGTAAGAGGGTTTTTTTTATCTGATAGAGTCAGTTTTCTAGTATACTGGGAAAAGTTAACTTATCGAACCATTGTAATATAAATAAATGTGCTTTTCTTCTCTCTTTTTACAGCACTTAAATGGTGCCAGTACAAGTACACAAACTTCAGACCATAACATTTCAGTTAAATCTCCCTCCACATATGACCTAGAAATTCCAGGACAGGAGATTATATGGAAAGGAACCTCTAGACCAGAATACTCTCAAGAAGTAAGCAGTTGCAGGATTTTGTATAGTGTTAAAATCTAAGATACCTTAATTTATAGGGTGTATATTATGAAAAAGACTAATTATGATAAGAGTCAATTTTGGTCCTCCATAAATCAACATTTTTAAATGATTCAGGTATGTTTTAAAATTGTTTTTATTGCAAATGAGCTTAATTGCCCATGATGTAGTAATAATTTTATTTTCGTCCAAAAAAACTGGAGTAGTGGGGATTGATGTATGGAGACATCGTCCTTCTGAAAGATTGAATTTCAATGAAGAAAATATAGAGCAGTTACAGGTCATAAATAGTTTTTCGCTCACCACAACAAAGTTGGGAGAGCTGATGAAAAACCCTCAGCGTCAGCGTCCCAGGTTAAAGTTTTTGGAGCAGATTTCTTTTCAAGTACTTCTCTGTCCTTCTATTAATCAATTGAAAGATGCATGGAGGATGCTTCTAGTGTGTTTCATTGTACCAGTCAAGGTTTCAGATGCTGCAATTTCAGCTAAAGAATGAGCAGGTTAAAGTTTTTGGAGTAGGTCTCATTTCCAAGTAACTATAAGCCCTATATTGACCTAACTTGCATGGATGATACATCTTAGGATGTGCATTACTGGACTATCTGACTTACATTTTCCAGATGAGTGACCAGGTTAAAGTTTTTGGAGCAGATCTCATTTCCAAGTAACTATAAGCCTTTATATTGACCACACTTACATGGATGACACATCTAAGGATTCACTCTACTGGACTTGCTTCCAATGCTGGATCAGACCTACATTTTCTGTATGAGTGACCAGGTGAAAGTTTTTGGAGCAGATCTCATTTCCAAGTAACTATAAGCTCTAAATTGTCCAAACTTGCATGGATGATGCATCTAAGGATGTACTACTGGACTTGCTTCGGATGCTGGATCTGACCTACATTTTCCAGATGAGTGACCAGGTTGAAGTTTTTGGAGCAGGTCGATTGCCAAGAAACTATAAGGCCTATCTGAACCAAACTTGCATGGATGATGCATAAAGGGATGAACACTCTCAAACTTGCTGCAGATGCTGGATTTGACTTAAATTTTCCGTATGAGTGACTAGTTTAAAGTTTTAGATAAGTCCATTCCCAAGTAACTGCAAGCCTTATATCAGACCAAAATTGCATATTTGTTGCATCTAGGGATGCACTCTACTAGATTATTAGTTTAGTGTGGGACTTTGCATTACTTAAAGACAACATTTGTTGAGGTGAGCTCTGTAATCTCTGATTACCTATGTTTGGTATATCTATATCTGTACACAACCCCAGATCATTACAGATAGTTAGGTCCTCAATGGTGTGTACACGAGATGGGAGTTGTCAACTTCATCGGGCTTTTCCAAAATATATATACGGTTATTATTTCCAATGTCAAAACAAGTAAGGTTATTTAAATAATTTTTAGAATGTTTGGAAACTGAATTTGACGCATGCGACGTCATTACGGTTCAGTAGTGAGTAACATCAATGTTGTTTCAAAGCACCTTACTAAAATGCTCATAAAATACTGAAAAAGTGAGATATTTTTAAAACTTATGTATATTTTCATTCAGAAAGAGCCAGGCTATCTAAATTTATCAAAATGTCAATTTGTGAAATTTTGACCTTAAGGGCCCTTTTCTCATGATGGCAGTCATATGAATAATTTTTAGATAAAGAAAAATTCTGCAAAAACGGTATCTTATTTACTAGCCTTTAAATCTCCCAACTTCTTTATTCATATCCTAAGTAGATATTATGTAAAACTGTATTACTATACTAATATAATTAAGCTTATTTATCAATTCATATGATTAAAATTTTACAGTTATATTAAAAAACAAGATCTAATTAGGTATATTAGATTTATTTTTATTAAAAAAGACACAAGATACTCAATTATACTAAGTATCCATTCTGCAAAATGATTAAGTCCGAATTAGATACAAAAAATTTACACAGGAAAATGACAAAGTCCTCAGTTATACTAAGTAGCCATTCTGCAAAATGACCAAGTCAAAATTATATAGGTACAAAAAAGTTGCACAGAAAAATGACGAAGTCCTGAAAAGTTATGTTTTAGTTAAATCTGGCCAGGAAATGGTTAAGTCCAAAAAGGTACAAAAAAGTTATACTGTAAAATGACAAAGTCCTGAAAAGTTATCTTTCAGTTACACCAGAAAATGGCTAAGTCCAAAAAGGTACAAAAATGTTATATAGTAAAATGAAAAAAGTCCAGAAAAGTTATAGTTTAGTTACATCTAAAAATAGCTAAGTCCATTTTAGTACAGAAAAGTTATAACTAAATGCAACTTTATCTCGAGGTACAAAAAAAGTTACAGAAAAGTTATAACTTGGTTATAACTTTTTTCAGTGTGGGTTGTATTTTTTCTTTGATTGTCAGATTCTATCACAGTCTTATACTATCCATAGATGCCATTTTTTTTTTGCAGGCAAATGCATGAACTATCATGCTAATAGTGAATAAAATGCATGACCACTCTTTACTGAAGTACAAAGCAGGCGATACATGCGTTCCAGTAAAACTCATTTAGTACAAACACGGATATAGCGAATTTACGGATATAACAAAGGTTTTTGCAATCCCTGGCAAAATTCTTAACAATTCATGTAAAATTTTATGGATATAACGAACGCGGATATAACAAATATATGGTTATAGCGAACTGAGCATGATTTTGTGTCCCCTAGAAGTTAAAATTATTGAAATTTACATATTTTATAGCGAATTTTCAAAGACCTAAATTTTTAAAATATTGAACAGATATAATTTTGTAAAAATTTATATTTGAAACTCAATTCTTCTAAAAACTTTTGAACTCCAAAGTAAATTTTGTATGTTATACTTCACTAGATACATTTGGTAGACACATTGAAGAAAAAAATCTATATTACGAATTCGCTATTAACATACTTTAAGGAATTATTATTAATACGGATATAACAAATTAAGGATTTGCAGGTCCCAAGAACTTTGCTATAACCGAGTTTTACTGTAGTTATTTAGTGTTTACATGCTTCCTAAAAATAAAATGTCTACAAATTCTTTCAAAAGGCTACTATTTCTACAGTTTTGGTCTGATTTTAACAAACCTTTTTATACAAGTAGAGGAAAAGAATTTCTTCTCCAAAACAGCTAGGCCATGTTAGACAGATTGTTACATGTAGTGAAGCATCCTAATGTTGTTTGGATTCAGAGACTCCTTAAGGTTAGGGTGGGCCCACAATAATGGGTCACAATTCTTCATGGGAATTTATAGTTGAAAAGTCTTAATGTAATAACATTTTAAAGAACAGCATGGCTAAAGTTATTAAGGTTAGCATTGTAGCTCATTGGTCTCATATTTTGATGAGAAATAAAAATGAATCTTGTAATGAAGAGCTCATAAAACACTGTATATAATTGTTTGAAAAAATGATGTTTATCTCATGCCTTAATATACTGTGCTAAGAGCTAGGTTCACTTTATCCATAAAACAGCCCTGCCCATAAACCTATTAACTGACCATGACCCCAATGTCCCATTTCAAACACCTATATAAAGTAGAGACTTTGTGCTTTCAGTTCCTATAATAAAGGTTTCTCTGAGAGTCCAAATATTAAAAGCAGGCTCTGTGAAATTGCGATGTTCTTGAATTTTGCAGAAAACAGGTGTATTTGAGTACCTTCAGCAAAGAATTAAAATATGAGATCATCCCTTGATCCAAAAAATAAAACATGTTTTATAATCTTCAGAAATTGGCCTTTCATGATCTAGCTATTTATAAGCATATTTTAGATCAGGTTGGGCTCTGTGCAAAATATTGAAAAAACAAATTAAACTTTTGGCCATTTTTGAAGAAATTTTCAGGATTTGAGAATAATGACACATTTCATGATGTCATAATACACGGACCAGTGAGAAATTACGTTACTGTAGATTCCTTATTTTACGCGAGTACTTAATATCGCGAAATGGCTAAAGGGCGTCAAATCGCGAGAAGAATAATTCGCGAATGGATGATTTATCTTGAGATTTTACATACATTAAAGCACCATAAAAATAAAAGCGAGTAATTTTATTTCGTGAGTGGTGCTTCTCGCGTAATTACGCAATAATTTATTCCTCGCGTATATTTAGGAATCTACAGTATTTTTAATAGATATGCAGTCACCAAAGGTCCAAGTGAAATTTAATGTATTGTTAACTAAAACTGAGCAGTTTTAATTTTTAAGAAATTCACAGGGCCAAAAAAGGCTCTTAGTGAACTTTGCTCTTAAATTTTACATGTACTGTATAGTTCTAAATTACAATGTTCTGTAAAATTGTTATTATCATAATGACTTTATTACAGTATTTCAGTTTTACTCTATTTACTATGGCTTTGAATGAGATAACAGAAGAGAATGCCAATAAGATCCCCCCAACAGACTGTCGACTGCGACCAGACATACGTCTGCTAGAGCAAGGACAAATAG